CTTTATGGTGTAGAGGCAGCCCTCCTGACTTATCAGAGTCATAGTTGTAGTGTAGCTGCTGGAACTCACAGATGGAGGACCCATGTGTTTGCTGCAGGATTGTAACAGAAACCCGTTCTCCCACTACCTTCTTTGGTTATATCATGAACTCCTCCGATGATGTAGAGTTTGTTGTCCAGGACGGCCACACCGGCCATTGTGGTACTTGTGCTCACAGGTAGATGAGTCAGGACCTTCCACTCGCTGTTGTCTTCGTCCAGGTAGCAGACAGTCCTCTGGAGATCCTTCAGCTGCTCAGTGGATGGTGAGTGGCTGCACACTGCCATGTAGCTACTCGGGAGAAGGGACTCTATGTAGTCTACCATCTTCTTGGGTAAGGTGTGAACTTCTTCCTTCAGTTCAGGGTACATATCTCTGATGAATAAGGCTGAACTGTAGGAGAGCTCTCCCACTCCATAGGTGGCAGCCGTGTGGTAAATGAGCAGACAGTTTTCAGAATTTACGATATTGATCAAGTGCTCGGTGAGAGCCGGCACCTGCAGGAAAGCCGCACACTCAATGGCTTCCACGATCTGGTCGCTGCTCAGCATGGGGTGTTTCCCGCCCAGGACCTGCAGCATGACCTGAAAGCCCAGTACCCCCACACACTGCAGCTGGATCTCTTCCTGTTGGCACTCTCTCATTCCTGACTGGAACAATGCTCTAAAGTACTCACATTTCTCAGACAGAATAGTTTTATCCACAGCGAAAGAGCGGCCGTCAATGTTGACCCTCAGATTTTCCGGGGGCTGACGCTGTCTTGGCTGCTGGCTGAAGCTTGAGCAGCTGTTGGACTCCATCGCTTTCCTGATTTTGGATCGTCATTACATTTCAGTTAAAACGCAAACTGACAATAATACAGCTCTGATCCAGGTCAAAGTACAGCATCAGTGGTGTTCCACCACTTACTGCCAGTGTGAATGAGCACCTCCTATCCAGAGCTGATGCTAGCTGACAGAGTTTTCTCACAGCTCTGAGAACAGACTCTATAGATAGCAGGAGGACGTGCGATAAAGTTCAAGTGCATTATGGTGAAATGCAGCCAGAGGAGAAAGAGGAGCCGGATAGTGATAGGGTGACTGTCAATGTGCTGAAGATTCATATTGCTCTTTGTCCGTGGCTGACAGTTGTGGAACAGCTGAGAATGTGTCCTTGAGCAGCAGGATCGGTCCAAATGTAACAATAGGTCCTTCCCCTTTGGTTTCAGAGTAGGAAATGCAGGGCTACAAGGAGACGGCCACATGTCCTCCTGTTCTCTCGAAAGAAATCATATTAAAGAAAACATATAAATGATATATGGTTTTAAAGTCACGAGTGAAATACAATAGTATTATTCACTTAATAATAAACCACCACTACTGCTACTAATATCTTGATAACAGGAAGTTATTATCGTCATAATCATTATCAAAACACTTGTAATCATAATAACCAATGTGTATATTGTCTTTAAAAATAGAATTAACAAATTACATGGTATATCGAGCAACCCCAACTATTGTCTTCTGATATTGAGGGACTTGGGGGATGAAGAAAGTGGAGCAATAAAGCCCAGATGATCCCATCAGGGAGAATAAATACTAGACTGCTTTGAATGTGTGGACACAAACACTGCTCCAGATGAATGCAAATACTTCCCCTTTCCTTCAGTGACACAGAGGTTATTTACCCCCCCCACCCACCCCACAAACACACCTATGCTATAAAAGTAAAACTCTTTAACAGCCATGTTACAACGTTACAGTGCTCTGTGTGTGTGTGTGTGTGTGTGTGTGTGTGTGTGTGTGTGCATATATCCGCGTGTACGTGTATGAGACCGATACGGCAAAACTGCCCCACAAACAGACAAAGACACGGTGACAGAGACGCTGTCTAAAACATAACCAAAGTTACATGTTCAAAGACCTAACATTAAACAGTCTCAACTTGGTTTTAAATGCTCCACAATTCCTTTGTGAAAGTGAGGCTCTTTAAAATCACATAAAGCCTCTCAAGGGGTTTTGTTTTATAAACCTGTTTAAATGTTGAATAGTTTTTGTTGAGTTAGTTGCTGACTAAAAGTTTGGTTAAAATTTGCACTACAAAAGGGGATGCAATGTTTGCACAGTGATGATGCACGATGCCAATAGGATATCCATTGTCAGACTGGATCTGTTGGTCTCTCAGTTTCAATAAAAGGTTACTGGAAGAGAAGCAGGAGATGTCAATAGAGAATGTAAGGTTCATGGAGATTTTGTAGATGTCTACTTGTAGGCAATAAGGTCATTACTGCATGGACTTACCCTTGAAAGAGGATGACACCACTGTGCCAAACGACAGGGGCATAGTTGAGCAGCGCATTTAAGGCCTCAAAAGAAAGTCTGAAAAGAACCATTCATGAGGAGTGTAAAGCATTTCTTACTGAGATAATTGACAGTAAATATGCAGAAGTGGTCTAAAGACGAGATGGTAGTGTGTGGTATCTTGGCATCATGGGGTGTATCACCTAAAGAAGAAAACCATGAGTTTTGACTGTGGAGTTTAAAAGAAGCTCCTAGAATTGTCAACTCTTAAAAGGTCCTAACCTTACCAACTCTCTCGTTGGTGTCTTAACAAGGTTTAAGCCTAGTTTATGCTTCTGCGTTTTCAGAGCGACGCAGACGCAAGCCCCCCTTGCGTGTCCCTTGGATGCCTTTTCACACCTCCTTGCGTCCTTGCGTGTGTCGAGCCAATTTTCTAGGCTTGCGTCGCTATGCGTCGGAAGAAATGCGTAAATATGACCACTTATACAAGCCGTCATTGGCGGGTTGTAGAAGGGGTTGGATTCACGGAGGGAGATCGCCGCAAACGCCGGTTTGCCGGTCGAGAGGTGCACAAAGTTGTGGAGGAAAATACGGGACAAATGTGTCCGTGATGAAAAGCACTTCAGAGGACCCATACATGCACAGCTGGATTATTTTGCAGATGCCATGTGAGGGGTCAGGACTTCGACTCAGGTGCAGAGCAATAAGGCAACAAAAACGTCTAACACTAAACACTAAACTCAGCTGTGGGGAGAAACGACGGGTGAGAAACTAGATACAGGAAGTGCAGTGGTTACAAAAATAAAAACAGGAAAATAATCTTCTCTGTCTCTTCGAGTCGTCACATGCCAATGACCATGGCCATGGCATAGTGTGCTATTTACAAAGATGTTTTTCAATGAGTCAATAAACCCTGACATCACCTCGGTAATTTGCAGGCCAGATTTCCTCAATGTGGGGAAGTGGAGCATCTTGCCAGGACAAAGATCAGCAGAGAAGAGTGAGAGCTTTCTTTGAAAAGCATGACGTTTCTCCACAAGTTCTGATACTGTTTTATCTCTGCCCTGCAACTCCATGTTGAGTTGGTTCAAATGATTGAAAACGTCACTCAAAAAGCAAACAGCGGCATTAAACTCATTATTTTCCATCAGAGACATCTGATGCCTGCTTTTTTCAATTTTGAAGATCGGAGAAACACCAGAATCTCCTCTCTTAGTTCACAAAAACGTTTCAAAGCCGGAAACTGGAGGTACAACGAATGAAGTTTATAATTGCCATTACAGAGTCCATGGTCTCCTTTAACTCACCACTGAGCTAGGCACACAGGAGGCTTTGGTGGATGAGGCAATGCAGAGATCTCACCTGCGGAGCCGCAGCTGCCATCCTCCCAGCGAACCCCTGATCCCGGCCGATATAGAGTGCGCACCATCCGTCACCAACATGTTGACGCGCGCCAAATCCAAGTAGTTTTCCTCAAAGTATGAAGCAATTTTGGTGAAGAGAATCTCACCGATAGTGTGCCCCTCCATGGGAATTAGTCCAAGCAGATCCTCACGAAAACATTCACCATCAAAAAAATCGCACATAGAGGCACAGCTGTGCAACATCACTGTTATCAGTGGACTCGTCCACGGCCAAAGACATCACCTCGGCCTTCCTCAGCTACTCCAAAAGCGTCTCGAAAACGTTGGGTGCAAGGGACTCGACTCGCCGCATATTTGACGTGTCAGAAATTGGAATTTGCTTGATCGAATCGATAATGTTTTTTCGTGTTTTCTCATCTGTTACCACCTCGTCAATGGATGCCAGCTTTTTTTTTTGCCCAATATCCATGCCACTCGTAACGATGCCGCAGTTGCTCTCTCTTGATCTGTACACGCCCGAAACAAAATGCGACGTCTTTGCTCATAGCAAAATGTAAGCCCTGTTATCTTCTGGCTCCGAGCATCAGAGCCCGGTGGGAAAGTAGCATCAAAGTTAGCATGCGTTGTCTTGAAATGCCTTATAAAGAAATTATATTCTTTGCACACGGCGAGGCACTCGTTGCAGATTAAGCACACAGGATTCGCATCAACGGCAATAAACGCGTATTTCTCTGTCAATTCATTGTTGAACTGCCTGTTCTTTAAGGTAGAGAGAGACATTTCTTCTTGTTAGCCAAACTTCGTGCTTGGCTTGAAAGTATGTCAGAGCGGTCAGAACGCGGCACAAGAGCGCGAATGGGCGACTTTTATTGGTCATGGGTGGTCCCCCAAAATATGTGTCCGGCCGAAACAGGTAGATATTCTACCTGCCTGAAAGGGGTGCACACCGCCTCCTACTGCACGAAAAAATGTACAATTAACCATAGTCATGCGCTGTATGAGGCTACCCGTATGTAATAATTACACTTCACTCCAAGGGCCAGTACAAAACCCCTCAGGGGCCGGACCCGGCCCTGGGGCCGCCAATTGAATAGCCCTGCTCTAGAGGTCTGACTGTGGATAACATGTCGGAGGTGGATATCAGGTCCAAACTTGAGTTGGATTGGCTAATAACCTTAGATCCACATGTGATGTCCTCAGAAAACCCAGAGGTCAAAAGGGACCTAATAGCGAACGTCATCATTACAGATTCTGAGGGTGCAACCACCAAAATTATAAACTACTTTTCCGGCTGAACTAATCTAAAGACCACAGTTGTTTGGTTCCTCAGGCAAACAACTGTTTTTCTAGGTCCAAGGAGAAAGTGGAATGAAGTCGTTGCTTCTTTAACTGTTGCCGGCTCACTCAACCAGAAAAGGTAGAAAAAGAAATGAGAGGTCAGAGATGCAGTCATTAGTCAGCCACTCCCCAAGTGACATCCCCAGACCAAAATCTGCCATTATCCTGTTCAGTCTGCAGGAGGAAGAAATTCGAGGAAGAAATATCTTCAATGGAAAGTGGAGCATCTGGTGTAAGGAAAACTAGTGATATCTACAGATTGGATCCTGTTTTGAAAGATTATTTTTTAAGAGTTGGTGGAAACCAGTCTCGGAGCTTTACCTGAGGAGCTGAAGCAGTAACCTTTTACTGAAGGTGCTATCTAAATAAATCATTACATTCTATCTAAAGTATTAGTCAAATGTGTCATATTAATGTAGTGAAGCAGAAGTAAACAGTGGCATGAACAGAAAAGTCATGTACGATCGATCAAATTTGTGCTTTTGTACTTGAGTAAATGTATCAGATCCAACAGACTCAAACTTCTGATGCAAATACTTCCTCCCCTTTCCTTCAGTGATACAGAGGTTATTTACCCCCCGCACCCACCCCACAAACACACCTATGCTATAAAAGTAAAGCTCTTTAACAGCCAAACGTTACAGTGCTGTGTGTGTGTGTGTGTGCATGTGTGTGTGTGTGTGTGACCGATGAGTCACAAAACCTCACAAACAGAGAGGACAAGGTTACTGCTAAGCTGTCCAAACAGTAACCAAGTAACAGGGTCAAAGACCTAACATTGAACAGTCTGAACTTGGTTTTCAAAGCTCCACGGTTCCTTTAAAAGTTTAGTGTTAGGGTTGGGGCTAAAAGTGAAAGTGAGTTTCTTTAAAATCACATGAAACTGACAGATTCACAAAAATCTAATAACAGATTTTTTATACATGAGACCACAACAGCTCTGCATCCTGTCAGACAACATTTTCCTCATTAAGACAGAACTGTATGTCTAGTACAATCCGTCACTGATGTTTGTCGCATTTGTTGTTTCAGGCTCCTCCCCATGAACTTTGGAAAGACTTTTTTTATCTATCCATTTTCCACAGTCCTTCTCACCTCAGCCATAGACAAGACATCATACAAGTGAGTACACATTCAAATGACTAACTAATAATGTACCTAGATTTGAATCCATAATAAAACATTTGAATACAGCAGTTGGGTTGATGACTTTTACTAGCTGGTAAATAAAACATTTTGTTAGAGGAGACATTGTGGTTTAAGTCACAGCATATTAACCTGCGCTCTACCTTTGTGTGCTAGTGTGATTTCACAGCATTGCTTCATACTCTCATCATGGTGTGCAGTGTATATCTACGATATGCTATGGCATGGTGTGGTGAGCTCTTGTGCTACTCAATGCACAAGACCCAGAATTAACTGTAGCCATAGACTACTACTACTACTACGAAAATATACATTGTATTGACAATGCATGGAATAGAGGACTCCACCGTCACCAAGCATGAAGAATCTAAAAAATAATGTCCAGCATTGAATTTCACACAAATAACGTGCCAGATGAAAAATTCTAAACAAAACCTGAATAGAAAACAACTCATTTAAAAACTCGATAAAATAACATAACTGTGTATAAAAATAAAATTAGGGACAATGTGACTAAATGCTTTGGTCCTGGACGGAGGAACATTTCATGTAAGAGAGACATGCAGCGGCCAATAAAAACGTTCCGTGTGCTTTGATTTGCGTGATCTAAATGTAGTGATTCACCATGTGAGCAAGGGTCCATGTGGACCATCTGCAGATACCTGCATCAGCATAAAAACCCCACATAGAAGCAAGTGCCTAATAGGGTAATCTATGTGCACCTCACTTATATTGTTTCAGTTTAACTTTAGTTACTAAACTCTGTCCAAAGAGAATGTTCATGCGGTCCAGCTGGGTACACCCAGAGGAGCAAATCTCCTGCCACTATGTCACCTTGTAGAAATGACCTCACTTTGCTCAGGTTGCTAATTTAATGATAAGATGGACATTTCGTTGATTGAACATGTTTTATCCTCTTCAGATATGTTGTTTGGTGCCTGGATCATATTGTTCCCTCTCCTGTTGGGTAAGTCTGTGATTCATTTAGACAAATTTGGAAATACATTAACAAAAGATGCTACAGGTAATTTTTGTGGTTCAGAACAGGTCATATGGTGTCAGATCAGTTGCATAGCAACAGCCACATGTACACTTTCTGTACGCTACTGCAATGCCATACAAAACTATTTTGTGCTGAAAGGCAGCTATTTACTTACTATTCATGATGCCTCCGGCTACGTGTCAGGCCCAACAACACCCCTGAATTGTAACATTATTGACATGAAAGTACAGCCTCTCGTACCTTATTGCTTTAGTTTACATATCAGTGATCTCACTCAACAGTGTCATGATGTAGAACTGCAAGTGTATACAGATGCCACTGTTTACATATGCATACACTGCTGGATTACTAATAAATGCATTGGGAACTGATGTTAAATATCTTGTCCTGATACTAGATCAAAATTTGAACTGTAAGAAAAGAACGTTTAAAACCATAAAATACAATTTGGCTAATTTCAGACGTAACAAAAACTAAAAGATATTTATACATGCCATGATCCTTTCCCATATGTCATATTGCATTACATGTTGGAGGCAGCTGGGTATAACTTTGTACACAGAGCCGGTGGACTTTCATCACTGTAGCGTACTGAAGAAATACAATTAACCGAGCCTCGAGAACTATAGACTTATTTTTAAAATGTATGTATGGCCTTTAAAATTTTAAATGATTTGGCCCCTCCTCCACCACGTCGCTTGATGTAAAGCTACTCAGTAACTTTTATCCATCCTCAAGAATATCATGCATACGGGACTGCACCATTCCATTTGGCCGCACTGCATTTGGTCAATCATCTATTTCCTTAAAAACCACAAAAGACTTCCCGCTGTGCTGTTTGTTAGTCTCATCCTTGTCATGACCTGTCATGGGACAAGATGCAAATAAGCTAAAGCTATAATCTGGTACAGTGCATCAAATATAACATGTAAATATTTATGTTTGAACTGTACATGGTCCCTTTTAAATAAAATAAATGAAATAGATTAATCTAAATCTTTCACTCTACAACACCTGCAGGGGCGAGAGCGTTCATGATCCACAACACCCAGAGCAGCCTGTGTCTGGCGGAATCTTCAGCTACGGGGGAAGTCCTGCTGAAAAAGTGCAATGTGGACTCAGAGTCTCAGCAGTGGATCTGGATTGATCGGAGCAAGCTGATGTGTGTTGGATCGTCCAGATGTTTGTCGGCCCTGCAGAGTCAACTTCTCGGTACTCGGCCCTGCTTGGGATCAGAGGTAGATGCAACAGGATTATTGTGGGACTGTGACAGAGGCAGACTGGTCAGCAGGAACACATCAACGCTGCTGTCAGCAGATGGCTGGCGTCTGGTTCTCACCCACGACAGCAAACTCTCCAAGTGGAAATCTCTGGATGTAGGAGACATCTGCCAGGAGAAGCTCAGTAAGTCAGTGTGGTGTAGAGAAGAAGAGAGATTGGTAAAAGGCACATTTGATTTCTAGATTCCATATTTGGTTTAAAGACTGAAATGAGGTAGAGTTATCACTGTTTGCTGTGTGGCATCTCAGACATTTCTCTTAAACCCTGTAATAACGGATGTATTGTGTACACTTGTTTACTGCACAAATAAGTAATGAACAATATATGATCACCTTTTAACTATTTATGTTAAACAAACAGGTGATTATTTACATATTCACATTACAGAGACAAGCTTTTGTTATTGTCCATCTGACAAGAACACAAAGGTGAAATATTCCTCTTTTAGCTTTTTTGGTCTTCATCAACTCCTGAGGGAATCATATTTAGCTGCTAAATGCTCCACTACGTTCACCAGCTAATCTAACTGTGTTTGTCTGCTGTTTTGTTGCTGAGCGTGTTGTGTGCCCTTTTACAGCTTCTGACAACAGCTGGAAGCAACACTAAATAGTAAGAGAGAGAAATAGTGTTATGTTTGCACATTCTCTTCCCCTATCTGCCCAAAAGTAGGAACAAATCCAGCCTCGCTTACAAGGGACTTGTCATCGGCTCACCTGCCTAACATAGATGATTTGAGAACATTGTGTAGATTCTTAAAATATGATGTTGTATAAAATAGATATTCAAAGCTAGACTTATTGTCTTAAGCTTTGACTTCGGAGGCCTGAGATGCAACAGAATTGACTAACTGTTGTATGATATTGAAACAAATTGTTTAAAACATCAAACTGAAGCTGTTTTGAATTGACTTGGTTGAACCAAAAGCTTTTGGACACATCATTAAGCATAATAGGCTACGAATGACAAAAGTTAGCTTTAGTGTAATGTGGTCTTTAACAATCGGTGACGCTATGCTTCCAGGATCCAAGAGGGCATCTGATGATCTAGAAGAGTTTGAGGCTACAGAGCAGCAGACAGGCAAAGCGGCGGCCATGACGGACGAACAGAGAGAATACTTCCGCTGGTATTATCGCACTGAGGACCGTAAGTGCTGCTTAGTCAACAAAGTTTGATCAAATTTGGCCCACTCCTTTTTTTCTGTAGTGCTGATGACCAAAAGTCCAGTACACCAAAAACAAAACACAACCTTCTTGGTGGAGCTAACAAGTCCTTAAGAGGGCAGCTGATTACAGTTTAAAAACACCTCAGAAAGCATAAAGCTTTATGGAGTGGCGTATCGAGCTGTGACGGCCTCATTACTGCCCCTTCAGGTATTTGGTTGGGAAGAACTGCAGTTGTGGCAGATTTTATTTTCAACCAACGGCTACAAGGATCAACAATGTGCCCACTCCACACTGGAACACAAACAAGAGGGTTAAGCTTCCTCAGAAATATTTTCTAAATGTCTACTATACAAGAGAAAAGACGAAGGATAAAGATCAACTGATTGATCTAGCATGCTTTTCTAAGGGAACATCCGGGTCCGTCTCCACACATTATATGAAACAGAAACAAACAGCAACATTTCAATTTCATTATAAAGAGAAAAATTTACGTGTAAAACAAATATTCAAAAAACTAATTAAAATTTATTTTGGTATGTTATGATTCAAATAAGGGTTATTTTTATGTTTTGCTAGTTTCATTAATAAAATTCATGTAACTCTTAAATAGCCCGTAGCCTTTACAACTTTTTACAGGAAAAAAAGGAAGTTTGCTGTTGCAAAGAACAGCCAGCTAACTATCCAGCACCGTAGATGGAACACTAGACCCACAGTCACCATCTGTAAGGTGGCCTCTTTCAGCAACGCTCTGATTCCATGCACTGTAAGTATCCTGCATTCCAGCCACCTGCTCAGGAGCATTGGGACGAAGTGTGTGACGGGACACACTTGGTCCCAATGCTCTCCTATTCATCTTTAAAGATCTCCTCTTGATGAATGATGAATAGGGTCAGAGCGGGAAGCAGGACGTGGGGAGACCAGGGGGAAGAGCCTAAACCATGTAAAAGTGCAAGAGAGATGTTCATGGGGATGCAAGTTGTTAGTAGTTGGTAGGAGGTGGCTACTGCTGCTTATGAGATGCAAACCGTTAACACTGAACTATTAAGGACTGTAAGGACATTCTGGAAACAATCATCCAACACCAAAGGTGCATCTGCCATGTTGAAAAAATGAAAGGGCCAAACAGAACGGTTTTGCATGGGGCAGGGCTACACTTTCCAGATATATGACATTAAATTGAATAACATTCACTGCTACAGTATCGATATCAACAACACCAGTGTTAGCGTCAGATAATTTTGACAAAACTCAAGCTGCAGACAACGTTACCCTAGTATTCACAGATTAATTTAAAGATCCTAATACAAGTAGAACCGCTTCTTTTCAGATTCCAGTTCAGCATTAGTGTCATTACAATAATTTACAGTACATCTCATAGCAGGAATTTATCACTGAAATATACAAAACATGGTTCTTAAGCATTTGGGTACTTGGGTGTCATTCATGTGGTTGAAAGGGTTTATTCAGCAAAACAGAAGCTTCCATTGGATGTGATTCACCGTAAAACTCCAAGGAAGAAGGAAAGTTCTGGAAGCAGGATGGCTTCTCCCTAACGGCCCCAGGTTTGGCAATGGGTTAGCGAGTTCAGTTTAGTGTTTTGTGTTACTTGTGAGCTGACCTCGCCTCTTATTTTCTGTGTGCTCCCAGCAGTCCTGGTTCATATGTTTACTCCTCACAGTGTTCCAGTCGGGTGAAACTGTTTGTTCAGCAGTTTTCTTCCCGTTACAGCAACCACATGGACTTTTGTGCTGCTGGGACTGGCCTTTGTCTGCCTTCTTATTGGTTTTCTGCTCCTGGGAATGGGAACCATGGCCAGCAAGTAAACAATGACATCTTCATGTTGGCAAAATAATATGTATAAATATGAATGTGGATATTTTGAAGACCCTTCAGTGACATAGTTTTAAACTTGTCCACAGGAATAGAAAGAAGATTGCAATGTACAAGGCAGCTGCTGCTGTTTCTGTTAAAGGTGAGGCGCTGCGGATCATTTCAGTGCTCAGAGATGACAGCAGCAAACCATCACTTGAAAGGCTGATGACGGGAAACAACGGGGAAGTGAGCGAGCTCAAAGCAGGAAACATCATGGTCACATGGAAAGACGGCAACACATCCTGCCTGTACTCAGATCCCACAGCAGATGAGGATAAACAGGAGGAGGATCAGGGCGAGAAAAAGGAGGAGAAACAGGAGGAGGATCAGGGCGAGAAAAAGGAGGAGGATCAGGGCGAGAAAAAGGAGGAGAAACAGGAGGAGGATCAGGGCGAGAAAAAGGAGGAGAAACAGGAGGAGGATCAGGAAGAGAAAAAGGAGGAGAAACAGGAGGAGGATCAGGAAGAGAAACAGGAGGAGCTGTCCGCTGATGAGGCAGAGAAGACCATGGAGTGAATAATGTCCTCCTGTAACGAGCAGGACAGAAGCAGAAGCACTTGCCTCTCATATGTTTTAACCCTTCATCACCCACTGCTCCGCCTCATGTTGCTAACAGCATGTACAACTTTGATTGACTGCTTTGAAGTTACAAAGCATTAGGTTTAGACTCCCGACACTCAACATATTAAATCAATCCCTGAACCCCTGACGTTATGACCACATGTACTGTCGGATGGATTCAAAACAATCCAAAAATTTGAATGTTGGCATAATGTTAAAAGAGATGTACCATGCGTTTTCACTCATGAATTAACTAAAATATTACATGATATTTGAAGAAAATAAAGATTCAGCAATATTAAATGATTAAAATGATTTCCTATTCATGACATGCCAGCCTTCCTCAAGGGGTAGATTCTACCCCCAACGGTAGCTGACTATGGTGCTGGAATTGTAGGTTTGGTCTACCTATAGGTCTACCTATATATATTTATAAGTCGATTTTTACACAAAATAGCAACATGAATTGAATGAAATGAAAAAAAAATGAAAAAAAACGTGTGAAATTTTTTTTTGTAACAAACCCACATGTTTAATAAATAAATGCATTTGAGCTCCTCTTTTCACGTACACACAAGCCAGCATTAGCCTGGTTTGTGCAGCTAACGTCAGCCCACAGCTAACTTCATTCATTCAGCAACATTCATATAAATATGCTAAATTGGATGAAGTCGGGAAACTGTCAGGGGGACATCTGCAACCATCAGTCATGAGAGGAGATGGACGGAGAGAGGGAAGAATCGGGTTGTGATTTGTAACTTTACATTTTTAATTTTAATTAATGTAACTGCTATGTATGGTAATTGTAAATTAAATATGATGCAATCTGCCTCTGAGCCTGTGCATGTGCCATAGCCATCCTTATTTCTGTTTAAAAGTGACGTAACTGTAATTTATTGAAACATTGTTGCAGTGTTTCAGGGTATTTTCCCACCTATAGTTTGTTTGTTGTTCCGATTCGGGATTAATATGATACAATGATGCATTTGCCCCTTCGTGCCCCCGTTTGGTTTTTGTGGACACTGCAAGATCCAACAGTCATCTAAATATTAGATAACAATACCAGGAATGAGCAAACCGTTCTTTCATTGGTCCAACTTTATTGCAGCTATAAATAGGCTCTGTGTAATGCATCACAGGAGACAGGAGTCGACCCAAGCGCAGAGCGCAGAATTAATGAAGAACAGGTATAGAGGGGTTAAGCTTAGTCGTATCCAAAAGACAGGCGGGAGGTCGATATCCAGGGCCCGGTTTTTCAAAAGGTTTAATCCGGATAAAATTGTCCTTATTATAAATCCTTATTTTTGCGATCCGTGATCACGTAATCCAGTTTACTTTTGAGCCAGTTTCTCAAAGCAACATCGGATTGGATCAATCTGATCCGGATAGTAACTTTTCAGGATCACCAAATCTGGATAACCAGTGCTCAAACAGGATAGGAAATCACAATGTAGAACTATAGATATGTAAAGAGCAACACGTAGAATAGCCAGTGTGGGGTCAATATAAGTTTATTTTTATTTGAAATGAAAACACACACATTTAAAAAAAACTAAAAACAAGAAAAACCCCACTCCATCCTCTTCCAGCAGTCCGCTCATCTGAGACCTACAACACAAACACTGTACATTGAGGATATTTATAAAAAGTTTCAAATATAGATGTATTGAATTTTAAAAAAAGACTTAATGTCAAATACTCCACAATAATTTCAGACTTCCTCATCTGATGTGGAGAGACCAGCTTGTCTGAGCGTAGCCTTTAGGAGGCGGATCTCAAGTCTGGGCCTTGGTTTGCTGCAGTTTGGTCAGAGTCAGTTGTTCTCTCTGCCAGAACAAGCAAACAGGGACGTGCAACAAGGGACGCAATAGTTAGACACTATTTCTGATTTGGATTTGTTTTGGATTTCAAAAATCAGTGATTGCCATTCTTTGCATTTTTTTGGTTATTCTGTAATTATTGTCCATCACTAATAAATATTCTAAAAACAAAAATATTTTAGATTGTGATGAATATATCTATCAATTAGTGACAGAATAAAATGTATTGTTTTTGGTCAATTTTGACAGCTGTTTGGGGGATTATTTTATGAGGCCAAACTCTTTCTACTTTGCTGTAGGCCTATACTGAAAGGCTGAATACGTTAAAGCCTACCTAATCACTGTAGCCTGACGGATGAACAAATAAAATTAAAACCGTATGAATAAATAAGTGATCCAAATCCTACAAAAAAGTTCTGAAAAACCCAAACTAAAGGTTCGATCCGGATCAAAACCAAGATTGGATTACGTGATCTAATCCGATTATGTAATCAGTTTTTCCTTTTGAAAAATCCATTTTCAACATTTGATCCAATCCGTTATCCAAAATCCGAGTGGATTACTTTTGAAAAACCGGGCCCAGGAGCACGGAGAAGGACAAAGGTACAGTCAGCGATCAGGCAGGAGGCAACGAGGTCTGGAACAAAAAGGGGTCTTCAACGAGAGTACAAAACAGGATATCCAAATAACGCTCAGGATGTGATAACAATTA